TCTTATCTAGAAGCGTTGCTTAGGAACCCCTTGTAAAACCATAAACCCTTAGTGTTTGTGTCGTGACTAGAGTTAGTCATGAGTTGAAGTCTTTGTAATAGGTGTATTGCAAAGTGGCTTGTAATAGGTGTATTACAAGTTAGTGAGGGATTAAGAGTTTAATTCCTAGATTGCATAGGTTGTAATCTAAAGTTGCTCATAGTGAAGTTAAAATCCTACCAGTGTAGGTCATGGTTTTTTATCCCCTTAAGCAGGGATTTTTCCACGTAAAAGTCCCTGTCTTACTTACTTACTGTTTCATTAGTATTCTCAGTGGAAACCCATAGAGGACATGGTCTTTCTATAGTTTGGTGGACTCATATAAACTATCAATTGGTATCAAAGTGGGTTACTCTTATCAGGATAACACCTAGGAAAGATCCTTATGGCTGATCCACACAATTTTGAAGAAGGTTAGTCTACGTATAGACCGCTCAGGTTCAATGGAAAATACTATGGGTGGTGGAAGACAAGAATGCATGATTTTATCATGGCTGAAGATTTTGGGTTGTGGGATATTATATGTGATGGTCCTTATGTCCCAACAAAGAATGTTGGAGATCTTCCAGTGACGATGCCAAAGACCAGGAAAGGATACAATGATGTAGATAGGAAAGCTATGCAGAAAAATTTTCGTGCCAAGAAAATTTTGGTGTGTGGTATAGGACCTGATGAATACAACAGGATCTCAGCTTGTCCAAGGAGATATGGAAAGCATTGCAAATAGCACATGAGGGAACCACTCAAGTAAAGCAATCTAAGATTGATATGCTTACCACTGAGTATGAGCTCTTTAGGATGAAAGACGATGAATTTATTCAAGACATGCACACAAGATTCACTTTCATCGTAAATGAGTTACACTCACTTGGTAAAGTCATTCCCAGGAACAAGCTCGTGAGGAAAATTCTTAGTATCCTGCCTAGTTCATGGGAGAGTAAAGTGAATGATATTACTGAAGCCAAGGACTTGCAGGAGCTGACCATAGATGAGCTAGTTGGAAATCTGAAAACCTACGAAATGAAGAGGAAGATAGATAGTGAAAGAAGAGAACCAAAGAAGGAAAAGAACCTGGTACTCAAAGCTAAAAGCAATGACTCAAGTGAGGAGGACAGTGACACGGCTTACATAACCAAAAGGTTTCAAAAGATGGTCAAAAGAAATGGAGGAATAATAAAAAAGGGCAACTCCAGCAGATCAAAGAATTATTACCTCTATCATAAATGTGGAAATCCAAGGCATTTCATCAAAGATTGTCCTCTCATGAACCAAGAACACTTCAAATACAACCCTATTAAAGCAGTAAAGAGGAACTCGGTTCTTGACAAACACTTCAAAAGGAAGAGATCTGCTGACAATGTTGTGAAGCAAGCTCTTGCAGCATGGGGAGATTCCTCCTATGAGTCTGAAGAAGAAACTGATGCAGGTGATATTTCTATGATGGCAGTTGAAAGTGAATGAAATGAATATGATTCAATATTTGCTTTGATGGACCAATCAGACGATGATGAAGAAGATGACAATGATGAGGTAAACTTCAGGGATGTTCAGAGAAATCTAAAATCCTACTCCCCTAAGAAACTCATTTCATTAGCAAATGTATTAATTGATGCCTATCATAGTCTTGTAGAGGACAAAGATGTCTTGACCTTAGAACTAGGAGAAGCTGAACAAACAAGAGATGATCTAGTAGTATGTGTAGTTGATCTGAAGGAAACTATAAGCAATTTGGAAGATGAAAAAATAGTTTTAACGGAAAAAATTGCTAGTATAGAACAGGAAAGAGATGACCTGGTGGCTGTAGCTGTTGACTGTAAGGAAACCATTGAAAATTTCAGTAAAGAAAGAGACCATAGTGAAGAGAGTGACTGAAATTGAGGAAGAGAGAGATGATCTCTTGATAGTGATTGCAGACCTAAGGGAAACTATAGAGGGACTAGGAATTGAGTCTAGAATTGGAAATTCTAAGAAAGGAAAAGAGGTAGCTAGTGAAGCACATATTAAACTTGAAAACGAGTTGAAAACTGTGAAAACTAGCATGTGTGTTGAAATTGAGAAAAACAAGCATCTCCAAACTAAACTGAAAAGGGTAAAAAATGATCTTGAAAAGTCCCTTAAGTGGACCTGGTCCTCGAAAGCTATTACTGCCATGTATGTTAATAATGGTGGGAACAGGCAGGGAATAGGGTTTCAAAGGGAGAGAACTCCTTACAACCCCCATAGCAAGTATGTTACTGTACCGGATAACTGGTTGTGTACCCACTATGGGAACAATGGGCATTTCAAAGAAAATTGCCAAGCCAGGGTCCAGTCTATTCAGAAAAATAAAGTATTTGCTGAAAAGGTAACTACTATAAAGGGACCAGGTGCCACCCATAAAAAACGCATGTTACCTGCATGGACTAAGAGAGCTATTATTCATCCTCTTGCCTACTACAAGGGACCCAAACTTGTTTGGGTTCCTAAAACTAACTCTTGATTTCCTTGTGCAGGGAACAATGAAAGGAAGCAGTTAGCAATGGTCCATGGATAGTGGATGTTCAAAGCACATGACTGGGAACACCATGGACTTTCTTTCACTAAAAACCCTGCAAGGAGGGAGTGTATCCTTTGGCAATGGGAAAAAGGGGTATATTCTCGAAGTTAGAAAAGTCGGGAAATCACTCACTCACCCAATTGAGAATGTGTAATATGTCAATGGTCTTAAGTACAGTCTCTTGAGTGTCTCTCAGATTTGTGATAAAGGAAACACGGTGGAGTTCTTGTCCAAGATATGCACAGTTACAAATCTGATAACTGGTGAAGTGGTACTTGTAGCCAAAAGATACAAGGACATCTATGTTGCTGATTTCGAGTCTATACAAAGTGGTGATCTGAGTTGCCTGAAAGTTGTTGATAATGATGCTAAACTCTGGCACAGAAGACTGGAGCATGCAAGCTTCTCTCTTCTGAATAATCTAATTCAAAAGGACCTGGTTTGTGGTCTGCCCATGTCAAAGTTCAAAGAACACAAAGTCTATGATGCTTGTGCTAGAGGGAAGCATGTGAAGTCCTCATTCAAGTCAAAGAAAGATGTCAGCACCTCAAAACCACTTGATCTCCTTCATATGGATCTATGTGGGCCTATGAGAGTGCAAAGCAGAGGAGGAAAAAGGTACATCTTTGTGATAGTGGATGCTACTCCAGATTCACTTGGACTCTATTTCTTAGAACAAAAGATGAAACCTTTGAATTCTTCTTAGCCTTTGTGAAGAAAATCCAAGTGAAGATGGAATCAGAAATAGCATGCATTAGATCACATCATGGAACAGAGTTTGACAATGCCAAGTTTGATAAATTCTATAACGAGAATGGCATCACTCACAATTTCTCAGCCCCAAGGACTCCCCAGCAAAATGGAGTTGTGGAAAGGAAGAACAGAACTCTTGAGGAAATGGAAAGAAAAAATGTTGATCGACAGTGGGATTTCTAAGAACTTCTGGGCTGAAGCTATCAACACTGCCTGCTACTTGGTGAACAGGTGCATGATTAGGTCTCTCCTAAGCAAAACCCCCTATGAGTTGCTGAATGGAAGGAAGCCCAAGCTGACTCACCTAAGAACATTTGGGTGCAAATTTTATGTTCTCAACAATGGAAAGGATCAACTTGGAAATTTGATGCCAAGAGTGATGAAGGAACCTTTTTGGGGTAGTCTTCTCAAAGCAAAGTTCACAAGATATACAACAAGCGGACTTAGTGTGTTGAGGAAAGTGTTCACGTAATCTTTGACGAGTCCTATCCCTCCTGTGAGAAAATCAACAAGGGTGATCAAGATGGGGAGCCCTTGCTGGTTCTAGGTGAAGTCATTGACATGACAAACAGAAAGGTAGACATGATGAGTCAAGTGAAGGAGCCAAGTGGAGACAATGTAGCTTCTTCCTCAAGGGAACCAGGTAACACAAGTACGACCACTGAAGCTGAAGAAAGAGTGATTGATGCAGTGCAAAGTACTCTACAGGTAGCTGAGAGAAGAATACAAGGGAGCCAGAGATCTACCCAGCTCCTTTACAAATGAGGCACAAGTACCCAACTAGAAACATAAAAGCTCTCATCCTCTTGAAAACATAATTACCTTTCTAGATTCATGAGTGCAAACCAGATCAAAAGCCAGAAACTCATTTGTCTTCTCAGCCTTTCTTTTCCGAATAGAACCCAAAAACATCAAGGAATCCTTAAAAGATACAGACTGGATAACAGCCATGCAAGATGAGTTGCATTAATTCAAAAGGAACAATGTATGGCACCTGGTACCTAGACCCTCAGATCGAACTATCATAGGAACCAAGTGGGTATTCAGGAATAAGCTTGATGAACATGGAAACACTACAAGGAACAAGGCTAGGCTAGTGGTTCAAGGTTACAATCAGGAGGAGGGAATTGATTATGATGAGACGTTTGCTCCGGTTGCTCGCATGGAAGCTATCAGAATCCTAATTGCCTTTGCATCACATATGGAATTCACTCTGTTCCAAATGGATGTCAGAAGTGCATTTCTAAATGGATTTCTTAAGGAAGAAGTCTATGTAAAGCAACCTCTGGGGTTTGAATGTCATGAACACACTAAATATGTGTTTAAGTTGGACAAGGCATTGTATGGGTTAAAGCAGGCTCCTCGAGCTTGGTATGAAAGACTGTCAAAGTTTCTCTTATAAAATGGTTTTACAAGAAGAAAAATTGACAACACCTTGTTCCTGAAGAAATGGTGGAGGAACCTACTCATTATTCAGGTATATGTTGATATCATTTTTAGGGCAACAGCTGATTCACTATGTGAAGAATTTGCAAAACTCATGAGAAGTGAGTTTGAAATGAGTATGATGGGTGAGTTGAATTTCTGCTTGGGTCTTCAAGTGAAGTGCTTCACAAAGCATACATTCATCTGCCAGTAGAAATACATCAAGGAGCTCCTAAAGAGGTTTGATATGGAAGCATCAAAAGTGATAGACACTCCTATTTCCACTGATACTCGACTGGACATGGATGAGTCTAGATCTCCTGTAAATCAAACTATGTACAGAGGCATTATTGGGTCTTTTCTCTACCTCACTACCAGCAGACATGATATTGTCTTAAGTGTGGGGCAATGCGCAAGGTTTCAGTCAAATCCCAAGGAATCTCATCTGAAGGCTACAAAAAGAATTTTGACATATCTTAAGGGAACACATGACATGGTCCTGTACTACCCCTCAGGTGATAATTTTAATCTTATTGGGTATGTTGATGCTGACTATGTTGGTTATCTTATGGATAGGAAAAGTACTTCCGGAATGGCTAACTTTCTAGGATCATGTCTCATCTCATAGGGCAGAAGGAAGCAAAACTCAGTGGTTATTTCAACAGCTGAAGCAGAATATATAGTTGCAGCTTCTTGCTGTGCTCAGCTCTTATGGATCAAACAGCAATTGGAATATTTTGGTGTGTACACTGATTGTGTGCCTCTTCTATATGATAACACTAGTACACTCAACATGGCCAAGAATCCAATTCAACACAAAAGAACCAAGCACATTGATGTGAGACATCATTTTCTGAGAGATAATGTGGAGAAATGGCTTATCTGTATGAAGTTCTGCTGTACATAAGACCAAATTGCAGATATCTTCACCAAAGCATTGAGCAAATAACATTTTGAAAGAATAGGATGGAGTTGGGGCTAATAAAGCCAAATTGAGAACCCGATTCCCATGAGTTGGCTATGAAAGTCACACTCAGGTAATATTAGCTAAAGTGTTTTCTGGCCAAGTCCAACTCACTTCAAAACCGTTGCAGGTAGACACATATGATGATCATAGAAGCTATAGATGCACTGCATGGATGGTAAAAGAGGATTAAAATTTTCAAAGACATGTCAAGAACCCGGTTCTTGTACCACAGGTTAGTAGTTTTGTGCATATTCTTCATACATATCATAAAAAGGATGCAAAAAATCAAGTTCCACATCATCACCTTTTCAGACCCTGTTGTCACGTCTTTTCATTTCAAATCCCTTCATCTCCCTCTGAAACGTTGCAACTCCCCATACACTACCTCCATTTCAAAACCTATTTCTCTCTCTCCCTCATAATTATCTTCTCCTATTAAAATCCTCTCTTCTTCTTGAACGGTCATACTCCTCTCTTTAGTCTTTCTCCAAAATAATTTCAATGGTATCTTTGCAATGGCTGAAAATCACCTGATAATCCCTTCCTTAGTTGAGAACGCCCTAGAGAAAACCCTTGATTCTTCCATCCCTGATGAACCCTCTTTCACAATTCCAGTCTCAACTACTGAAAACACCTCCAAACTAGATTTCGATACACCCTTTAGTTCTCATGCGACTCTCTCAAACCTCTCTCTCACTCCAAATGATGAGAACTCAAAAACCCCAAAATTTGATAATCCTTCATCTCTATCGACTGAGATTCTCACCGACCAAAGCAAGGGTAGAGAACAGGGTAAAGTTCCGCAAATTGTAGAGGTCTCAGAGGTTAGTGTTGATCAATCTTCAGTTGTTCTTGCTCCTGAGTTTATGGTAACCATGGAGTCTCTAGAGAAAGAGGCCGTCGCAAACATACTAGTCGTATCTATAGATGGAATAGTGCATGAGGAAATCTCTTGTGTGCCTGAGTCTCAGAGGAATGAGACACAGGGGTTAGTGGAAGAAGGAGTTATGGTGCTTTTTGAAAACTCTACACCAACAGAAACTACTGGGATTTCTCGTGAAGGACCTGACCCCTCTCCAGAGGAAACAGGTCAAGGATCCTCTTCCTAGATCAGTTTTGCCCCTGCTCCCTCTCCACACTTCGTTGTTGAGCCCTTGGAAATTCTAGTTCCCGAGATGAGGTCTAGTGATGAGGAAGATCAAGATAATGCTGCTCTAAATGTTTTTATTGTCAAGAGAAGGGGAGTAATCACTCTTAAGTCTTCTAGTAAGTGACCTACTACTAGGTTGCAAGCCAAAGAGGCTTATGAGTTTGCCCTACAAAAGAGCAAAAGGAGTAATAAGAAGAAAAAGAAGAGGCTGGTGAAAAATGGAGAAGTGGTATGCGACAAGGACATTCCTGTGGTGGAAGTTGATGAGAAAGCAACAGAGGAACCTAGTTCTTTGGTTAAAGGGTCCCATAAGAAGAAGCAATCTACTTCGGAGGAAGGTGTTGCTATGCCAAGTTCAAGATCAGTGAAAAGTGTTGGAAAGTTGAAAGAAGTAGTGAGTGACCAGTCATTATCTGATGAGGATATGTTGGACAAGTCAAGTGGAAAAGGTAAATCGAGTGTGAAGTCTGGAAAGAGGAAGGTGGAAACTGTGAGGGAACCTGATTCTGCACACAGAGTGAAGTGTGAGAGTCTGCCCGCTAAAGAACGACTGAGGTACCAAAAAGTCTTGTGGGGTCACACTTTTGACCCAACAATTTCTGAAATGGCCTGCATGAGAAAAGTAATTGAGATGGTCGGGTTTTAGAAGTGGGGAAATCTGTTCATAATGGATGCGCCCAAGGTCTATGAGGATGAGGTCCAAAGCTTTTATGCTGACCTCTTTCCTGTTGACACTGACCATATTTGTGCTTTAGTAAATGGGGTGGATATTGTGTTTGATGTTTCTCTACTTGGGGATATTCTTAAAGTCCCTACTAATGGTAAGTCTTCTGTGAAAAAATTGTGTGGGTCAAACTTCAGAAATGCTATTGTGAATGAAGGTGCAAACTAGAAGGGGGAACAGGTTCACAAGAAAGCCTTGCTCCCCGTTTATCAGTTATTGTTCGAGCTGGTGAACAAGGTTCTTCTAACCCCGTGCTGAGAGGATGTCCATTACTTCCAAATTTGACTTGTATCTGATGGAGGCACTGGATGGATTTAAAGCTATAAACCTACCTGCCATCATGATTGAGCATATGCAGAAGGTGGCAACTTTCAAGGATGGAAACCATGGTCTTTCATATGGGTTTCTTCTTACACACATTTTTAAGTTCTTCAAAGTGCCATTGGGACAGTCCAAAGTAGGGACCAAGAAGCAGACCTTCTTTCAAATAACCTTGGAGGAATGTGAGTGTATCAAAAAGGGGTAGGCAGCACTTCGACAATCTCTCATCTCATCAATGCTCAAAATAGTTCAACCGAGGAGATTCGAAAGTTGAAGGCAAGGAACGCCATACTGTAAGGTCAGCAGGTCCAAGGGGGTCTAGGGTCAAATGAGGAAATAGCTTGTCTGACTAAAGAAAATGATGATCTCAGGGCACAAGTGGAGAACTTGAAGGAGAAACTGCTCACCGAGCAAATGTAGGCAAATGCCCAAATGGATCTTGTTCTCAACACCCTTTCTGCAGCCTCCAAGCCCTCTCCTCCTAGTGTCCCCTAGGCAACCCTTCAGTGACTAGTTTCTGGATTTTCTATTCTTGTTTTGATGACTTTGGCAGTTGTTTTATTTCTTTTTGTGATGTAGATGGGATGTACTTGTACTGCTCCCGTTGAAAATAGCCCAATCTTTGCCTTTACTGTATAGCAAAGGCATATGTTTTATAAAAACTATCCTCTTTTGCTGTTTAATGCTTATGTTTCTCTATTTCTCTTTTCTATCATGTTATGTGCACATATGTGGCATGATTTAGCTAGGCTAGACTTCTTTATGCTGATTGCTTGCTTGTGTATTTTTAATGATGCCAAAAGGGGGAAGTATAATTGAAACAAGGTTCTGATTAAGAGGGAAACATAGAGTCAGGGGGAACTTGTGAAGTTCATGTTTCTTCATCTGGTTAATTTTGCTCTAAACGTGTGTTATCAATTTCTAAGTTTGTCATCATTAAAAAGGGGGAAATTGATGGGTTTACAATGTCTTAGCTTTATGTTTTGATAATCTAACAAACTTACTGTCAAAGAACCAGATAAGGAACCTGACACACTTGGTACACATCACAAATCAATGGACTCCAGCTAATGTGAATTGTTATAACTTTAGAAGATAGAGAATCAACACAGGGACATGATACCCATGTGTTTCCCTGACAGCAGTACGAAGTTAACTGTGTACAGCTAGAAAGTGACTGCCTGCACTGTACACAGAAACAGTGTAGCACAGTTCTGCAGTCACTTGTCTTTGACCAACCAAGTTATTACATCATTCAAGTGATGTCATCCAAGTTGTATTAACAAGAGTATTACAACAAAACATCGTTTGAACACTTGAGAATTCATTCCAAGCATTCAAGCAATCTGACATTCGAGCATTCAAATCTCAAGTACAATAAGAACAAAGTTTAACACTACTACATACCAGTTCCTAAATCTAGTATCTTGTTGTCATTAGTTGAGTTGTAACTTTGTAATTGTTTTTCATTGTAATTCCTACTTTGCTTATCTAGAAGCGTTGCTTAGAAACCCCTTATAAAACCATAAACCCTTAGGAGTCATTTGGTAGGGTGCATAAGAATAATGTTGAATAAGGTGTATTAGTAATGTTGGTATTAGTTATGCTTGCATTAATTATACTAGTATTAGTTATGCTGACATATTTCTTATCCACTATTTGGTTTGATGTATTAATGCATTGCACAATTTCTAAAAGAATTGTTTGTTAACAAACAACAACAACAACAACAACAACAACAACAACAACAACCACCCAGTATAATCCCATAAGTGGGGTCTGGGGAGGGTAATATGTATGCAGACATTTCCCCTACCCCGAGAGGCAGAGAGGCTGTTTCCAGGAGATCATCGGCTTAAGAAAGCGACAAGATACGATATATTAGTACTATCAATAGACTCGTAATAAAATAACATAAAATAACATAACATAACATAACATAACATAAAATAAAATAAAATAATAGCAATATAAGAAATATAGGAAGTACGAAAAAGATGGAAGATATAATAATATCCAGCAAATAAAGCCCTGCATCAGTTGCTGACCAGTAGCATCCTAAGACTAACTCCTAACCGGCTAGTCTCACTCTAGTGCGCTGTAGAAATACTCACAACCTACAACCTTAATGCTCGACCTCCACTAGTTCACACTCTAACTTTTTAAAAGAAATATATGTTGAGAAATATTTTTATATGAAAAAGTTTACAAAAAATTATTTGATTTGTCTACCTATATTGTAAAATAAAATTAAATATTTATTTATAAAAAAGAAAATATGCTAAGTATTTATTTATTTACTAGGGATATAATTTTACTTCTCACTATTTGGATTATTTTGAACTTGCATTAATATACTAACTAGCATATTTTAATCAAACATAAATTTTGAAGGACAATTTTGTCTTTAACTAAGCTAATGCATGCATTAAAACTCGTTGCATTGCTAATACCATTGCTTTCTAT